CTCCCAGCCCTTGAGGGATCACTAAATAAAATCAAAGCAGATGGACCATTACAAGCTCATTTGTGTTCACTACAAGCACCTCAACCTCCAGTTGTGATATACTGCACCTTTGTATAAAATGACATGTATGGTAACATGGCCTAATGAAAATAGCATCAGACTTGGCAAGTGAGGAATGAGGCTGGGAAATATGCACAGATCTATTTATCACTGAGTTCTTACCTTGCAGAAAGGGTTCATTTCCCTCCCCCCAATGTTTATCGTTGTATTTCTCTCCATGTTTATAATTTAATTTCCTCACACTCGTCATAAGAACTGAGAGGTGGCTGTTGGTTCTGGCTGTAGGAGCTTAGCAGGATTCCTGGCCTCTGCAAAGACAGGATGAATGCTGCTAATCAAAGGAATGCAAAACTCATCCCTACACACTTGATAAATATGTTACTCCAGGTGGCCCACACGTGTCAAGGCTTTGACCACCCACGGACACCAATATCTGCAGGGATCAGGACTCCCTCTATGCATCTCTTCCACAGCTCTGCATTTTTCAGCTTATGGGGACTTGGTACAGAAAATGAACTGCTCCACTAAATTCCAAAATTTTTGTCTGTGAGGTCAGAGTCAGCATCTCTGACCAAACTATGGGTGTCCCAGGGCATGGGAGGCAATTGCTTCTAAAGAAGGAAGGATATTAAAACTATCAGTTTCTGGAGGGGAATCCTTTGGGGTCTGCTGGCAAAGTTACAGTTTGCACTGAAAAATTGTTCATGCCTTCCACAGCAGCCCACCATAAAGTCAAAGGCACATCTAATGCCCACTTTAAAAACATCTCCTGAGCACCTTGTACAGCAAAGCACCAATATTGTCACCTGAAGGCTTTTGTCCTACAGTTCCCACCCTTGCTATCATGCTCCAGGGAGCTACGGCAAGATGAAGTATGGCAGGCAAGCTCTTGCTTCAACTGTGCATTCATTGCTAAATAGCATATACTGTGAACTTGTTAAAGGCTTTGAGAGTTCTGCTTTCTCCGGTATAAACAGAAAGAATGAGAGTAGATAGTGTTGGGAGAAATTTGATGCTTTTTTTTTGCCTGCATGAAAGACCCTTATATTTACCTTTAGTAAAAGCTTCATAGGTCACCTGGCTGCCACAGGTCCCCTCATGCTGCTTGCTGGGGGGTATAAAGAGGCAGGTAGGTGCAGCAGTGTAAAGCCAAAGAAATCATTTCATTAGGGTTGATAAATACAGTTGAACTTCTGTGACTGCACTATGCAAGTTGAAAAACTTGTCCAGCTTCTTCTGTAAAACAGCCTCCTGCTGAGTGTCTGAACTGTATAAAAATGATAAATGGATCAGCTAATATTTCTCACCTTACCCAGAAGCTGCAGGGCAGCTGGACAGTCTCAAGGATAGTGCTTCCAGGGAGCACACTGCGTGGAGCTCCTGGCCATGTCTGGGCTTGTTTGCTCTTCCTGAGCACTTTCTGTTTAGTGTTGAGTGTAGCAACTCATCCTCAGCTGTGAATTGGTGAAACTCCGCCAGAAGCATGTGCAGGTCAGGTCAGACATCAGCACTGCCTCTTATCTGCTGGCCAGCTTTCCTATCAGCCAAACTAATTTGCTAAGATAATTCTGTTTCCTGCCATCTATTACAATAAATCAACCACAGTAGCTTCATTGAGTTCTCTGCCAACTGCTGCCCTTGAAATTCTCAAACAGAATGGGGGGTGGGGAGGGAAATCAGTACTCTTCTAAAGTTTTAGATAAACAACTTGATATTCTATGCAATGCTATGTCTCCTCAGCCCCACGTTAATGGTGTGCCAGAGTCAGCTCAGACTTGGGCAAAACCGAATGTATCAATCATTCCTTTAAAAACAAACTTTTTGAATAACATGATCTCAGGAGGTAAAGCCTATATGTGGGTAAACACACACGTGGAGAGGTGACGCAGAGAGATGGAGAGCATGAGCACAGTTCTGGGAAAGAGTCAGAGTAAAATTACAAAGGATCCGCTGTTGTGGCTATTGAAGAAAGAAATAAAAGGTGTTACAATGAAATGATAACTCTCTGACAATTAATTTTGAATAGGGAAAAAGTATTGAGGCTAGATGGAAATTGAAGAAATATGGAGCATTCCCAAGCATACCTACTATGGGAGGAATTTAGGAGCAAAAAGGTATTAAGATCATTCTGCTTTTTCCTTATAGCAGTATCAACTACAGAGAGCACCAGTGATATTACAATTCATGGTCATTTTTAAAATTAGAAGATACACTAGTTTATACCCTTCTTCTATAATTCTCTTCAGATTAGATATTTAATAATGCTGATTTCTTTTTAAAGGCACTTCTATCCCCCATGATATTTCAGAATTTTTGAATTATCCTGCAGATCATCACCGGTTTTGTAATAGCTCTGCTGGTTAAAACTCAGCTGTGCTGTACCAGTTACGTTACTGAAAGGAGCCAACTCCTCAGCACCATGGTTGGGTTCATTCAGTCAGTCATTTGGCAGAAGGATGTTTAAAAATAATTGCATATCCCTCCCTGTCTTTAAATATTCAGAGGAAAAGTCACAGAAGAACCGATAATGTAACAATAATAATGAGGCTGAAGAACAGTATTATAGTGTGAACTCATATATCCCTTGGTTTCATTTACATGTTTAGCAGCTGCTTGTTTCTTGATCATAGAAAGATCATTACCTGACTTGTAAGAAGAGAGGGGAAGTCTGTTCACCTTTGGGCAACTAGCTCTGCATTTATTAATAGTAGTTGCCCATCTCATTATACATTTAATTGCTGCATTATAATTTATTTATTCACTGATTTATTGTAATAGATGAGTAGAAACAAAATTACCTTTGCAAATTACTTTGATAGGTGGGAAATTTGCATGGTTAAAAAAAAACCCCAACATGCAGCGTGGAATGTGAGATGCTACCTAGTGAATAACATCTTCACACGAGTGCTAGCAAAGACAAACTGGTCTCATCAGAAAATGTAGGCAAATCCAGCCAATTTATATACTGTTTAAAAAGAAATTGCTATATAACATATAGATAATAATCCTTATACTCCCGGATATCTCTTTGCTTCATGGAACAGGGAATCAGCTGAAAAATGAAGTGGATGGAAAGAGGAGACTCCTAAAAAATTAGAAACCTAAAGGCAGGTAGTTTGCAGGGCACGTGGTGAAGCCAGGGCTGCCTTGCTGTCAGTGCAGGTGGCAGCTCCTGCCTGCAGGTACAGGCTGTCACTATGGGGGTGGGCAGGGGGTTCAGTCCCACAGCCCCCACCCCACCCCAGCCTCAGCAACCAAATGGGGCCACAGAGAGCCAGGCATATCCAGAGATAGAAAACACACGTGGAATTATTTCAGTTTTCAGTTAAATAATACATATTGGGAACACTTAGAAAAACTCCAATTTTTTCCTTCAATTAATTAATTAATTGATAAAATTGGTTAGTGACTAACAATAACCACGGTCTAATTTCTGCATACACAGGTCAATCAGCTGCAAAACCTGACTATTAGGGCCACAAAATGCAATATGTTTTTTGTTGGTCGTGGGCCTCTGCCAGAGGGAGCGGATGGCTGAGGGAGAGCCCTGGGAGAAGCGGGAGGGCTGTGGGAGGTGCAGCCACAGCGCCGGGTTCAGCACCCGTGCACGGACCCCTCTCTCCTCGTGAAGTGCCTGGAGGGTGTGACTCACGCTGGGCTCTTTTCTGTGACGTTTGGTTTTGCGTGAAAGTTTTTGGTGTGGAAAGTTGCTACTGCCAATCACACTATTAACAGTTTTCATCAGCTTCCACTGAGCGCTGCGATTGCCCCAAGATTTCCTCGCCATTTTGCATCTCCCAGCAGTATCTGCTTTAGTCATTCAAACAGAGATGCCCTTTGGATCCAGTTTTCCATGATGAGAGTTTTGCCCTGTGCCACCGGGACCATTGTCACGGGCAGTGCAGATGCGGTGGGACCAGCCTGCCTGGCTTTGGTGCGCTGCCCATGGGCTCGAGCACGGGGTGATTCCAGCGCTGCTCACGCCCAGCCGAACCGCGCTGCCGTGCACTTGGGGCGGGCGCGGAACGCACACACCCGTGAAAGCCTCACATGCCCCTAAGTGCCTCAGGCCCGAGGCAGTTTTAAGAGCGGCGCTGCAAAGCCGGATGACAAAGCTGGAGACCCGCGAGGGTCGATCCCGCGTCCCGATCCCGCGGGAGCCGCAGCCGGTGCGGGCACTGCCCTCGTGCGGCAGAACGGGGGAACCGGGACGCGACCGCCGCCAACGGGGAGCTGTCTGTGGCAGGCTCAGCTTTAGCTTCTACAAAGGCAAAGAACAATATTATTGCAAACGAAAAACCTCAGTTTAAAAATCAACCCGACCCTTTACTCTCCGCAAGTGGGTGTTTCCTAAAAATATCTCTTGAGACTATTTTTACACGTGTTTTAAGTATTTTCAGTGAGATAAAGATTTTAAAAATACTTACACTGGCAGAATTCCTTTTATAGGCCCCGGTAGGACTTTTTCCATTCTTATAATTATACTCAGGAAAATAACAAAAAAAAGTTACACCTAGAAATACTGGATTTTTTTCTATACAGAAAATGTATGTAAACTGGGAGCTGTGGATTCAGCACTGATGAAGGTACAGCATAGTCCCAGGAGGATTAGGCTGCTCACTAGGGTTAGCAAAGTGGTGTACTAAGCATTTAAAAATTAAGCCATTTTTTCCCCCAGGAAAACTACAGGTAACTATAGCTGGTTTTCAGTGGTTTTCCCTTACAGCATCAGGTACTAACTGGTAAGATAGAGGTCGTACTGTTAGACCTGATTTGATACAGTACAATTCCCAAGTTTCCTAGAAATGCTGAAGAGGGACTAACAGAAATGTATAAACATAAATCCTTCTTGAAGGATGCAAAACAAGTTAGTTCACCACTGTATTCATTCTTTTTCATGAAACTCCCAAAACTCCAAGCCCCAAAGAAATGAATAGAGCCATAAGAACAATGTTTTTAATTAATATTAATACAGAAAGAGCACATGGTACATTCCTTTCCAGCAGCAACTCATTCAGCTCTACCATTGGAAAAAAAAAAAAAGTTAAGGCTAGTTGAGGGCAACCTGATCCAACGATTTGTTTCCCTAATGCCTTCTTGGACACAGCCTTTGTAAGTTTAGGAGACTATTTGTGCACAAAACATGGGATGTTTATTTAGCAAAACATCAAGAACAGATAAAAACATGCTTTGTTACAGTGGTAAAAATACACAAAGCTTTCAAGCTGCTTTTTACACCAGTTCAGTTCAGAAACCACACCGCTCCAGAGTGCAGCACAGTGTGCCTTGGTGTTGTATGGAACAGGCCATCCTCAGGGAGCGTGGTGAGCACGTTCAGTGAGTCAGTGGAGTATAAAGTGCACGAGAAAAATAAGTGCATTGAAATGAACCATTTATGATCAAGAGAAATTCTTGTTACACATAGTACTTGCTGAAAATGGGAATCTCACAGGCTGTTTAGTACAACACAGTACTATAATTCTCAAGAGCACGGAATTGGTATCACAGATATTAGAAAGACCTTTACTTAACATAGATATCTTCGCATTTTTTTCCTCCAATTATCTCCCCCACCCAAAGACAAGCATTCTGATGTAACTTACAGTGGGTTTGGATGGGTGGGGGTTTGATGGTTTTTGTTTGTTTTTGTAATGTGTAAGGCATCACCTTTAACTAAGACCTTTTCTCCTTACCCTCTACGTTCAAAATAAGCAAGTGTTTAGTGGCACAGTGATTTGTTCCATCTTGAATCCCGAGTTTCTAAAAATGTTTAGCAGAGCAGGTGAGTTGTATAGGGGTGCAGGTTTTCTCCCAGTTATGAAAGATTATGTACTATGAAACTTTACATTTTTACAGGCTGTCAGGAACCATTTTGTCTATGTGTTTTCCTACTCACATCTTAAGGCCATTGTCAGCAGTACTTATGAGCCAAACCACGAAGCAATGATCTGAGCGCTATTAATTTTTGGGGACATTCACTATATAAAAAAAAGAGAGCAAGAAGAACTGATTGAGAGGTTTCCAAATGCATTAAACAACATAAATGTTGGGTGCTTAGTCACTGAAATCTTTGGGCATTACATTTACCAGCAGCAGATACTTAAAATGCAGACTTCAAAATAGCTTATTCAATTCCCCTACAAATACATGCTGAAGGCTAAAAAAAAAAAAAAAAAGCTTTCTTACCCTTGCATATAAGTATATAAGTTATTTTACAAGTTTCCTTTCACAGTGAAATCACTTTTCTGTCTGAATACTTGTTCCTGAGAAAGGAAATAAAATTGGGGTTAGTTTATATAACATTTCACTTACATTGCCAGATCACCTTCAATCCAGTGCAGTACATTACACTTTTTAGGTTAAAAGAAGACTGTCAAAACTTTTTTAATATTATAAAAAAAACCTCTCTGTCCTCTTAACTGGTGAGCAATAAACTAACCATATGCTGTTTGCAAAACCATTTTGCAATAATCTACAGTACAAAATGCAGGCTGCAAAGCACTGCCTGTCTTTCCAAACACAGTATTTGTCACCAAGTGCACAGTAGTGAATGTTCCCTACGTTCTTGGAGGCAAGAAGCCAAACAATTCCTTCACTTCAGAGTATATATCCTGAAAAAACGTGATTCTTGGATATTTGCAGTTGTAAAAAAGAGTGGGTATTTTGCTACAAGATTATTCATCTAGAAAACTTTAACAGGGCTGCCACTTCCATTTCTGTCCTCCAGCCATAGCAGGTCCAAGGCTGTTCTCAAAGTTCTGGCAGGAAGAGGTAACTATATGTAATGGGGCTGGGGGTGTGGGAAAGATGACACCAGTGGAAGATATATGAAATTAATGCACTGGGAAAAGTCGAAAATAAATATAGGGCTAGGGAAGAGAAGAATCCAGACATTCAAACTGGTCTCACTGGTACAAAGGTTTGTGCTTGTGCCTGCCTTTGCTCCTTGTTCAGAGGGGACACTTGCACCTCCTTTCAGATTAAGTGACATGGTGGGGCTGGGGGAGGGATCAAACAGGGGCTCGAACCTTGTAGAGAGCGAGTTGAGTCTGTTGTATTACTATTGCCTTTTTCAACAAGCCCCCTCAGCCTTTGCTTTGCAAACATCTCTAAAAACATCACTGGAGGGACCTGGAGGCTGTGGCCAACCCTCCTCTTCAATGCACAGCCAAGGGTGGGCTACCACACCTTCTGCTTGGATGACCTAAGTGGTCTCTAGTTCATGTCAATGAACACAAGCTGCCAAGTCAAGACCTGCTCTCTTTACCTACAAGATGCTTCCAGGGCATCTTTGCCAACACATCCCAGCTGCTGTCCCAGAGCAGGACGGGTTGTACCCAAGGAAGTGCCCATGGACAATAACCAATCCACTGACAGATGGTTATAGAACCCATCGCCTAAAGCTTCACTGAATTTTTCCAGGAGAGAAAGAGGTCAAGAGCTCAGGGCAGTACTGAAACAAGAGAGTTTTGCCAAGGAGCACAGACTAGATAAATAAGGCAAGGGAACGTGAAAGCCAGGAGACTCGTAGAGGCAAAAGCAACAGTGACACTTCTAATAATTTTGTTGCTCTTGAAAGTGAAAAATTAGAGCACACTTCATGCAATAGCTAATGGAACAGATCAACCTTGCTTTACAGAGATTAGTCCTTCAAGCAGTTTTCAAATCTCTCTCTAGTACTGTTCTGTGGTAGTGTGTCCCAAAGAAAGATTATAGGTTTTCCAAGAAAAACAAAGTAACCACATTTTCTACAATATGGGATCAGTCTCCCTTGCCTTTAAAACAGTGGCTTTTTCAAAGTGACTTTTCCCTGGTATATTTTGTTATCTCTCCTTCTATAGACTTGATCGCCAAAAGGAAGTTTCCATATAAAACATCTTAGGAGTTGAAAATGTACAGTTCATATATATGCAATTTGTACAACCAGATGGTACTGTATATATATAGTTGCATGTTTGCTAGCCAGTGTAGACAGAAGTAGCTAAAAGGCAACTAAAACAACAGTATTCCATTGCAAACAGGAACCAACAGACTTTGAAGTACAGTATTTTACATTAACACAGGTTTTGCAGCTTTTCAAGTTAGTTTTCATCAGGTACTTGGTATACAGTAAAACTCTGATCTACCTTTATTTATAGTTTCATCTTTCCAGGCAGAGATTTTTAATATTATCTTTTTAATATTAGTAATCCTGAAATGAAGAGTCAGATGTATAACACATTCGCAGGCAGTAGCTTAATGTACTGTAGAAAAGTCAGTTCTGTTTACCAAGGACTAGAATCCACTTCTGTAACATTCCCTGAGGCAATCCACTATTTTATTGTTTTGTCCTGGAATCGTTTGTGTATAGTTGCTGTTCTGTTCCAGACTGCTTTGTTTCTTTAAAAATAGACACTTAGAAAAAGACATCTGTTAACTTTCATTGCTAATTTTATATTTCAGCAATTATGCTTCCCCTTAATACCCCCTCTCTCCTGTTTTTCCCCTCCAAAAATTGCAAGTTAACAACACAGCAAGTCTGTGTGCTTGATTTTCACAAGACAGGAATTCAGATTTTTAAATGAACGTTAATTTTTGGAACTGAAAAGAATGTAGCAGATAACAGAATAAAATTAATATGTAATGAACAGTCTAAAATTTATCTTACTAAAACTGAAGTTATTCTCTCTTCAAGAGAAGAATCTGTGGTACTAAGATCATCAAGGGTGGGGAAACAAGGTGGGGGTAGAGAAACACATGAGAATTATCATCCCTGTCCACAGACATGCACTGAGCATGCACACTGTGTATCCTTACATTCCCAATGGACTAAGGAGATTTTTTCTGATATAATTTCACCTTTACCATTTTTAAAAAAACTGTGTATAATCAATGCACTTAAAGCTTTAAGTTTTAGTAACTTAACTTTGTTTATAAAACAAACACACACAAGCACACTTCCTAGAGTGCAAAATGCTTAAAATACTTCAGTTACAGAACTCCATGTGTAGTTTTTGGGACAGTAAATCCTTTTGCTGTCATAGTGAACTTCTTCCATTGCCAGCAACGGTTGCATTGAAACTAACCCAGAATGCAGCAAACACAACAGCCGGTGACCTCCGACTGTTTCTTCAGAGATCCCTCTTCATTTGTATAAACTCATCGTTGGACTTTGATACATGCACATGTAAGCATCACAGAGCAGTCTTCGTGCACATCCTTGGATTTTTCTGGAATCTAGTGAGTGTAATTCTTCTAGAGACATCTTCAGGTATTCGGCAACTTCTGGACATGGGGTAACTTGTGGAATGTTGAAGCCATTCTGACCTCCTTTTAAACCATAAGGAAAGAAGGAGAAATGGATTAGGATAGCATCTGCATATATCTGCTCTTTATCATATACTTTAATTATGACATCATCACCAGTTCTTGAAAATGCCTTCTAAAAAGCCTAAATATGACCCTCTGGACCTCTGCAGGGTAAACTTCTATAAAAAGTGCATTGTTTGAAAAAATCACAATTAGTGTCAGAATATCTTGTGGTGTTTACTAACAAACCACACTCACACAAACACCACAAAAACCGAAGGAGAACTTTTGGTTTTCCTTAACACTAGAAATTCTGTACGACTTTGGGAGAGTGACTTGAATACATAATCCACCTCTAACGCTACTGAACTTGTTAATAACATGACAACTGGTAACAGCTGATGAATTTACAAACCCTGTCTCTCCCTGACTTACAACACCTAAAGCAGAGTTTACTCCTGGCCATTTTCCATGTAAAAGTGAGCAAATTCAAACAACACAAGTATGGACATCCATCTTGCAGTTCCCAGCAGACATTTTTAACTTATGAAGAAAAGCTGAAGGAAAATATCTGTGATACAAAAAAAACCCCTAAGATCAGCAGGAGATATATCCAGCACCTCATGTGATCTAAATTCCTGAAATAAAGACTTCAGTCATACACATTTCAAACACTGTGAAACAAAGCTTGATTGTCTTCTGGTTGGTATAAGAAAGTGACTTTAATCCTGTAGCAGTTTCATTTTCAACAGGAGGCAAGATTCTTCTCTCCCTGCCAAACCACACTATAACACAAGGGTTCAAGAATTCTTCATGCAAAAATTGTTACTATGAGTCTGACACTTCGTCTCTTACTGTTTTTCTCAGGCACCAGAATTGAACAGAGTCCTTATTTAAACAGTATCTGTTTAAATAGCAGTATCTAAGAGAACACTTGTTTTACTGACATTTGTATTATTACAGGGTAACAATTTTCCACTGATAACTCTAAAGAGATTCAAAGGAATGGCATAGATGTTGTAACGTTTGACTATTTCTTTTATTCTAAAGACATCTACAGTAAGTCATTTAAGAAAAAGCAATAAAAATATTTGCATACTATCTGATGATCATGTACATCCACTTAAATATAGACTAAAAATATATTCCTGCAGTTGATTATTTAAAATTAATTCTTTCTGTCAAATTTGCAAAGCATAGAAAAACATATAAGGAGTCCTGCTAGCAAATTTCTGCAGTTGCTTCTGTACCATCTACTCACTCAGGTATCCAATTTAGGTGAAATTGAGATTATGCAAATCAGCAGCTGCCATGAAATCCATGTGCGGAGGTAAGGCTGGGTCAAGATTAGTAAGCCAGCATCGAGTACATCAAGTTAAACGATATTAATATCCCCATAGCTTTAAGAAATAGTCACTGAAATCTAAAACACACTTAAAAAAAACTAAGAGAAGGTGAACAGAATAAATAAAACATCTACCATCCCGATCTGCCATGCTGTCGAAGAAGAGCCAGGCGGAGTCATCCCTCCCGTATTTCACAAAAGCTACGTAGTGGCTGGTTTCGATGCACAGAACTGCAAACAGCTCCATCTTCTGGGAGGGGATGCAGCCATGCCGCCAGTCCCAGTCTGGCAGATCCTTAGGAAGTGACAACGGATTGAATTTATGACTCTGTCTCTTGGGATGAAGATGAACCTACAGTTGAAGTGATATTTCAGAAAAGGAAAACACCCCGTAAGATTATTTGTTTCAGTGGCAGACAAAGCTAAAAAGAACATTACTGCTGAACAGAAGATTAATGGCTTTAGAGAAGGAACTGCAATAACAGTAGCTGACTAAACATTTCTTCTATTTTTCTCCATCAGTATAGTTTAACATTGCCCAGAAAATTCAAACTTAAGGTTAGAAGGGAGGTCATCTTTAATGCAACAATTTTCTACTACACTCAGACTTGAAAACAAGCCATGACTGACATCTTTATGCAATTATCAAACAAAAACTAAGCAGTTCTATGTCATGAATTTATCAACTCTAACAAGGGGGCATGTACATAAATTAGGATTTAAAGCAGACAGTTACTGCTTCTCCACTGTGTCCAGTCCTGGATTTGGCAGTTGCCATGTTGATAAACATATTGCAGGAGTTCCTGATTTGTCACCAAAGGAGACATTTTACTGGGTGGGTGGCAGTTACAGTAGTGCTGATGAAGAAATCTCACTTACACCTTCCTTTCAATTATTACAGCATAAACCACTCGGGTTAAACCCACACAGAATAACAAACAGAACCACTTACTTGTGTATTGCATGTTTTGCAGAACTGCTTGATTTTCCCAGCAGAAATATCAGTGTCTTCATAACATTCTCTGCACTCATACATAGCGAGCCCTCCACATATACGGCACTGCCTGGGAGCTGCATTTTTTAAAAATATATTAGTCTCCAATCTGGGGAGGCTTTTTGTGTTTTGTTTGGGTTTTTTTTAAGACAAGGAGTATGAAAAAGAAGGAGAAATATTACTTTAAATAGAAAAAAACAATACATTAAAAAAATCTTGGTAAATATTTAATAGAAAAAAACTCCAACAAAACAAACCACCTGAACTACCAGGAGTAGTTACTTTCACTGTGTTAGTCACTCTCAGCAACTCTCATTACACAATGCAGTGTTATATACTTACTATCTTCAAGTAAGTCTGTTATATTTAATTCCAAGGATGGAAAAATTTTATTGAACATTTTGAAGTCTTTTCCAAACCGAGGCATCTGGATAATCAGGCAAGAGGGTGCCTAGGTAAAATGCCAGAATATAATGTAGTGATTAGAGATACTTCTAATGTTATAAATGTATTCATGTTATTTAAACTTGCAGCCCATTGTCAGAGATCTCTCAAAGTATTAGTCCTTCAAACAACTTACTGCCAGTAACTAAGAAGTTTTCTTTTAGCAATTCTTTGCCTAAATCCCTTTGGTCTGTTCAGCCAAAGGAGACGTCATTAAGTCAGCCTTAAAATATTTTTGTTATGTAGGCATCCTGGACCACTGACATAGTATTCCAACATGTCCACATGTTTTTACACCAAATCCTGCTTTTGTCCCACTGCTGAATGGGCAAATATCTAGGTATCATCACTTCTAACAAGGTAACAGCTGTCACCAACCTCTGCAAACTTCAAGTTGCTGTTGATGAATGACCACTCTAGTAATTGCTGAATTGTTGGGACTCCAACTTTCTCATTTTTGTCCATAAAAATTTGATAGAAGTAACAGTCTTGTACTTTCTGACCTGCTGATCTAAAAACAGATTAAAAAAAAAAAACAAACAGATTCTGAAGCTCTACTGTAACGACTGTATTTTACTAGGAAAATAACATCTATGAGAAAATAGTTTATAAAACATCCTCTCTGCATTGAAATATATTGTGCTTTAGGGAAAAAACAAACAAACCCAAACAAAACACAATCCCCCCCAAAACAAAGTGCCTTAGAGGACAGGCAGACAAGTACTAAGTGTGGACTGATTTTAGGAAAACTTAAAGAAACAAAAGCAGTGTAAGTTTCAGTGACAGTGTCAGAGCCCCCATCTCTGCAGAGCACAACACACAGTGAGCACGGATACACCTCACACAGCACAGAACTACAGCAGCAGGTAAAGTAACACAAGTCCTGAAACGAGGAAAGGACTGAAAAACTACAGAAAATGCTTTGTAATGGTGCTGCTGCCACAGAATGCAGCAAGGAACCCGGGAATATCAGGTGCCAGCTAACAGTATGACAGCAGTGGGCAACAGTCCCCTCCTCACTTAAACCCGGCTACGACAGCTGAACTCTTGTAGTGCTACAGCTGAGAGTGACTCCATACATAAATGCCCGCATCTGTTATTTTGATAAAGTAAGAGAACCAAACTTAATCAAGGCAAACAATTGAAATATTTTCATTAGCCTAACAGAAGAAATGCAAATCAGTTTCTACAGCTCACACACGACTCAGCAATCTGTGCAGCTTGTCCCAGAAATAAGGAGCTGTAAGCTGCAGGCCACATTAAGAATTGCTGTAGGCCCTCTTACAGCAGCCCTTCTCCAGCATAATTACCAGGAAGACAGTAAGGATCTCAAGTAGACAGCACTAGGACACAGGATCTCTGTCCAGCACTCATGAAACTATGCTCATGAGCTTGTGCAACAACACCAGTATGGCAAAACCTACCTACCAAAAAAGGTGGGAAATAGTGTCAAATTAGTCAATATAACTTTACTATATTGAATCCTATTAGCAATTTTAATCACAAGTCAAAGGTGTTTTAAGAGTTGTCTCAGTTTAAAAGGCAGCAGATACTTTCTCCGCATCAGCCTCTACAAATGGTTGAGTTCAGCAAAGAAATAAGATTCACCTTATTTTCAACAGTGGCTCAACTCTTAGAATATGGTGAAATAAAATATTCAAAAATTCTTCTGGATCTGCAAGGGGTGAGAGAAAAAAAAAGTTTTGTTAGCATGCAAAACCAGCTGCATTATTCAAGACTCATTTAAATTGAAGGTTTTCAAAATTTTCATAGGAAAAAAACAGTTAAAAAAAACCCAGTTAATTTTTATAGCTTTATTAACACAGTAAGATTATGACAAACTATGAACACTTTTATGGCAAGCTTCTATTTGTTCTTTTGGTGTCAAAAGGCCCTAATAAAAGGTACAGGTTCAACAGAGCAACAAAGCTTCCCAGTAAAGATCAAAAAGATGCTCTGTCTTTCAGAGGAATCATTTGGCACGACACAACTTTTCCAGGAGAAATAAAAGCTTTCAAAAGAAAACAGTGAATCTGCAGAGGAGCAGTGAGGAGTAGTGACAGTAACACATAAAAACCACTCCATACTACAGAATTCATCTAAACTAGAGACTGAGTTCTCATCAAGAATGCAGCCCACACTAGCTTCCCAGAGGGCCATTCTTCCCAACACAGTTTCCTGGTATATTAACTACAATAAATACTGGTTTCCAGTGATCAGTATTTACAAAGGAAGTAGCAGAAACAGCTACATAATATAATGCAGCATATTCATTATATGCAGCAGAAGATCAAAAAGTTGGGAACTGATTTTTTTCTAATATGATTTACACATTTTATTTTTTAAAATACTAAACAACCATTGTAACAATGAAATGTTGGTAGTGAAAAAGTTTATTTCTCAGGGACCAAAGGGACATTTTGAAAGAGGACAAAGACCCCAGCCTTATCACAGTGTTCTCCCCTAACTGCTAGAAGGGAGTTATAGGGCCACAGGAGGGCAATAAAAGAAATCCAGGCAGTGAAAGACTTTTACAGAAATTGTTCAGCTAGGGTTCCTTACATTCCCAAGGAAGAAGAAAAGACCTTTCTGCCAGCCAATGGTCACTCGAATTTCTAGTAGAGACCCTGCTACTACAAGAAACTCTTTGGGTGTTTTGTTCTGGTATAATTACATAGCAAGGTATCTCAGTTCTTTCATATTATGATTCTTGTAAGTCTCAAAGAAAGGAAAACCTCCCCAGTTACCTTTTTCCTCTGAAGTGAATCCTGAGGCAGCCTCAACTTTTTCAAGTATTTTCCTCAGTTTCATTATTTTTGTAGCACATACATATCCATATCTAAGATAAATGGGTTTAATAAGCTATTAGCTAGTTTGTGATCAAATGAGAGAAGCACAGAACACCCCACCCTCTCAAATGCTGAAATACAGGTTCTCAAATCCTTCTTTAACTACATATAGTATTTCTTCAAAACCAAGTGCTGACTTCTCATATTCAATCTGACTTCCAGATTTCTTAATGCAGGATAAATTTAGTGCAGTGCTCAATGTTCTTTTATAGCCTTTAAGACCATTTTTAATCATCAACTTACCAGAATAACTGTTTTCTGATTTGTCAGTCAATTACTTTTGATTTGTTTTCACTCTAATTTGCATCACTTAATATATCATTTTCAGAATGTCACATAATAACAGCACTGTGGGAGTTGTTAATAAAAACAAAATTCAATATTTGAGAAAAAGATACAGAGCTGTATTGCTGACCTAAGAAGCTGAGGTTTTGAGCATTCAGTCTTTTCCTCTAAAGTTTTTAGCATGGTAGAAAGGTAATAAGACCTTTCAGTCATCTCAGCCACCTGAGATTTCTTCTACTCAGTGTGTATCCTGCTATCTTACCTATAGCACAGAACCCTGGAACACACCAGGAAAAGTACACACACCCTTACAAGAACAAGGGTTCAGAGGTCAACATTTTACTCCAGGAATCAAAATAAAAACTTTGTGATAAATTGTTCAGTGACAGCCCACAGAATTTCAGAACTACAACTGTATTATTCTCATGTTTAAAAGAAATTAAGCTTAAGAAAAGTAATTTTTCATGCAGATTTTTGTTGCGTGTCCTTTGCTCACTGTGCCTAAGAAATTACAGAGCTCATAAGTTCCTTTAAAAAAAGTGTTTTGACCACTTGCAGATCACATGTAAAAAGTAACGAAATTTTAATGCCCTGCCAAATCCAATAAATTGTGAAACATCATGCAAGATAACTCACATACTTTTCTTGTCAAATACAACAGCATTAAAAACATATAAATAAGAATGTTGTGAATGAACTTAACTTGTATTTATCAATGCTTTTTTATTTATACCTGTATAAATTTTACAATAGCTTTATGCTGATCCTATTTCCAAATTGAGACTAGTGAAAATATTTTATCACCAAACAATGAATAACTACTTCCAGTTAGCACTGATTAAATTTACCATGAAGAACAAGTAAAAATACTAAAAAAATAAATTGAATAGAGTGGCAGCAGCAGGCAGCCAAACTTCTCAGATTTGCAAGAGGAATGCATACACAGCAGGATCTCTGTAATTTATTTTAGAGACCAGTTCATGTCTTTACTTACATTCTCAGAGGATTCACAATTTCTGTCCGCAACAGCTCTTGAGTCTCACTATAATACTCTACATCATTCATTTCTTTAGGTCTAAGCAACACAGTGTCCAAAACAGAGCTAAAAGAAAACAGGCTACAAAGAAAAAAGGAAAAGGAAGGTTGTTTTGACCCTGGAAGATATGACCATTTAGACGTCTGAGCAATGTAAGAGAAAGCAAGCAAAGCCACAGAAAAATTAAAGAACTAAACTAACTTCAAAAGCAGTAATTATGGACAGGGGACAACACAGCTGTGCTAAACAGTAAAAGCCCACTCTAACCCAGTATGCTTTCTGCAGCAAAGTACAGAACCAGTTGCCCAGGCAGGATTGTGCAAATAAGCCATAAAGGGTATTTCCCTCCCTCCTTCCACCCGCAGCCTGGGTTGTCTTCCATCCTTAACCATTTACAGGCCAGGGACTCCCTCAGTCAAACCAAGCAGATACAGAAGGGCCAGAGCAGCGGGGACATCATTAGCACTTTGTAACCCAGCAAATGCTGCAGAACCTGCTCCCCACTGGAGGAGCACAGTAACATGTCAGGCTGGAGCCATGACACGGGAGCTGCACAGTAACACGCACAGACAGTCACCCATGTTCTGCATTTCTAGCATGAGATGCTACTACACAAATTATGAACTTACCAGAATAAGGTGGAGTCTAAGTAACAGGAGTTGTAATGACCCTGGATACCTTTCTTCTTTCCAATCATTGTCTCTAAACCTTCTTTTTCCATTTTTGGAGGAGTGTTTTCTTCTACCACTTCACTTAAGTAACCTCCAAAGGCTGAAATTTTTTTTTTCAAAAGACACTGTAAAGCCTCAAATTTTACTCCCCTTGAGATTTCCCTATTAATGTTTTATAGCTAAGTTGCTGCCTCAGTGTAAGCATTCCTTCTCTGAACTAGAATAGCATTTTATTATAGCTGAAACTCAGTGTTCCAGAGAGTGAACGAGGCCTTACATTCCACTGGCAATGCACATTAGAGTGCTTCAGAAAGCCTGCAAGCACTGAATTAATTTTATCCAGTAGGAATGAAGTTCTCTTTTCATTACAAATGCCCTGTTCACACTATCTTACAAGTATCAGACACTTTTCTTTGCTAGGTCCCCAGTATGACACAAGAAATCTAAAATACTTCAAGTTAGGAAAAAAAAAAAGTTTTTCACCACTAAATTCCACCATAAAAATACATGCTTTTTTATGTTAATATTTAGAAAATAAATTAATTTGATGCTATATAGAAAAATAGCTGCCTTTATTTCTGACAATGCAATCACACATTGCTGGAGTTGCAAATACCATTTTCAGCAAGATTGCTTTACAACTTCTAAAGTAAAAAAAATACAGCATAAAAAAATCCCTTTTATGAAATTTCTTTAAATATATGCACATTTTCTTGTTTTAAAGCATAAAAGAGTAATCCACAGAATCACTGTATTCTGTACAGGCTGATCTTCTATTCATTAATCTCATTTAAGTAACACCTGTACAGATTCTCAAGTGTTCAATACAAAGAACTTACTGCAGGAATAAATGAAACCAAAACCCTGGTCAGTTCCCATCTGATAAACAAGAAAGAAGCAGAAGGTCAGTACCTAGAGAGTTGCAGCGTTCAATCTGGTTGGAAACAGGCTGCAGTGAGGCAAACCTGGAATCTGGCCTGCAGCTTTTGAGTTTAACAAAAAGAGCTTTCTTCGGAGCACAAGTGAAGTATCGAGTTCCTTTAAATGTTCCGTCCGTGCAGCCTGCACATTCATCTTCCTGAAAATTCAAGTGAGAATTCACTGTTTTTCTTATTTCTAGAATTCTGTAGTAAGACATTTCATAAAGTATCTACCCACAAGTCTCCCCTCAGGTACTCTGAATATGCAGTGTTTCTGCATTCTAGTATACAAAGCTTTGACTGAGGTATTGTTTAACTGGATTTGCTGAGGAAAGTAAGAGTTGCAGGTTTTTTTCTTCATGCTTAAACTTTCATCAGAAGCAGCCTGGGGAGGTGGGAGGGGAGACCCAGTCCAGATTCCTTCTGTAGTTAGGAAGAGCACACATGCAGTACCAAGCACCTTTTACAACTCAGATAAAATCACTAAGCATTGGGTAGTGTGAATATTTTCAGTGTGACTGTGCTGCACAAAAAAAATGCCTGCTTTGGAACACACAAAATGTACATCAAGGACAAACAACACAAACCAGGTATGAACAATAAGAAGTTATTATCTTTGAGAATATGATTTAAGGTATATTGTCTACTGCTAGGCTTTAATGCAGAAATGCATGAGTGACACACAGGTTAACACACAACACCCTAAGGTGCAGTCTCAGAACACCTGTGGCAAACTATGGCTTCCAACTTTATCCAAAACACCCACAAGGATAAGGATTTTTTGTAACAGCTGGAATTCCAGTCACATTCTGATCTACTTTGTTTGTGTTTTACGTAATTGTACAGTGTTATGTGAAATTATATTGAACATTATCCCAAAATAAAGAACTCCATTTTCTTAATTGAGTACACATAATTTAACTGACAGCCAACCGCAACCTTGGCAGCAGCTGCCACAGAAGAAATGTCAGTGCAGAACAGCAATTCATGATTGCAGCAACTGTGCTTTTCCAAAGGGCTCAGAGAAACACATAAAGCACGTGGCTGTCAAATCAACCATATCACTACTATCAGTTATCAAAACCAGTGTTATGGCTCTGCCTGTTTGCTGGTATGCAAAAAACAAACATCAAAGTGATACTCAATAAAGACTACTACAGTCAGGGCATTTTATATAAATTTGCATTTCAAAAGACCTTTAAATATGGTCAGCTTTTTTCTATTACAATCTCCATAATGTAAGCAAAGGACACTCCTTTAAAGCAAGGAAGTGATCAGTCCCACAAATTCAATTACCCGTTGTAACACGAAGACATCTCAGAGCCTCTTAACAGGGTAAGGTCTAGGACAGCCACAAAAATCAGAGCTCATCGAAGAATTTAGCTCTAAGGACATCACATGGCAACCTGTTTTGGGCAAATCCCCCCAGACTGGCTGCTTTTGCAATGTATACAGGGACCAGCTCTGAGAAACAAAACTAGTAATTAACACTAATATGAACTACAATTTATATTTACCAGTTCCAGTCCAGCCAACACTTCATTTACTCCAGGAGGCTGGCCAATCCAGCGGATTACTCCATAGAAAGGAGGATTTTCTTTAACTTCAGCCAAGGAACCTGCTTCAAGACCGTGTGAGTTCCCAATTGGGCTTGCTGCTGATGGACTGTCCTGGTTAGCTGCAGTATTCACATCACCCATCACTGACTGAACAGATAAAGAGAGAGGACTGTGTCCCATAGTACCATTTGTACTTGTTGCTTTTGTCAAGCTAAAAGGGAGGGAGTGAAATCTGTTTTCTGTAGACACAGAGTTTGTTAAAGGTGGCTGCAGTGGTGGTGAAGAATGCCCAAATCCAGAAGATGAATCAGTAAGTGATTTTGCAGGGTCTTCAGTAGCTGTTAAAATCAAAACCAAGATGTTAGTAAGTGTTGGGCTTTTTTTCCCCCCGTCTTAAAAAAGGAAAGACTTGGCTCTCAAACCAATGAAGTGCATTCGCGACCACATCTGATTTAACATGTGACTGTACAGAAAGCACTAAGAGCTGGGGAGGAACATTTAGGAAGAAATTTGGCACTTGGCAACACTGGAGAGACAGAACTAACTGAGGAGACACTGCTGCAGCCCCATCACTTTTACCACAAACAACAAAAACAAACAGCACAGAGAAAGAAGATGTTAGACAGAAACTACAGGCAGGTTTAGATTGAAAACTTTTTTTCATCCTGAGACTTTTTCTTTGAACATGAGCTAATGGTCACAAGGATTGTAACAGGCAAAACTAGGAAGAGTTCACTGGCCATTGTAACTGAGGAAAGGACTTGGTTCACAGCTTACAGAGACATGAGTAAGTGCTTGCAGACACGATTTGCAAAGGGAAAAGTGTTTATTCCCCTAACTCTATCACAATATACTTTGGTTCTAACACAAGGAACCTATCAGTGTCTATATATGTCACAACTAATGTTGTGCCTGATAAAAGAGACCACAACTAGATGTGATCACAACACTAGCACAAGTGTTCTGTATCTTCTCTCATCTCTCTACATAGAATCATAAAATATCCTGAGTTGGAAAGGTCTCTAATACACAATTGGTATTCACAGAACAAAAGCCTCTTCTTCATCAACTGCTCTCCCCACACTGTTTTATTAACTAAAGTTAATGTCTAAAAAAAAAGTTAAAAAAACATGACAACTGTTACACAATCAAGAACAATTTTAACCCATTTTCTTTTACAGTTCATGGAATTCAGGGGCTACTGCTGCAATAGTTTCCATTGTAAATTAACATTATTAGTTTAGTCTTTACCCCTTCAGTCACTATGCCAGCCAGCTATACTTTTCTAAAGTTTATCAGCCAAAAAAAAAAAGGTCTGGAAGCAAATCAAGATATACTGATCCTTGAGGCATGTGCACTCATACTTCTAAAAACTCATAGAGAGATTTTGCAGAAATAACTTTTAAAAAATACTGAAAAAACATGTATACTTAGTCAGATTATTTCCCCCCTCCCCACTTCCAGACTGATTAGCTGGCATGGCAGAATAGTTCCCTTAGATTTGTAACATTAGCTACAAAGACAGACAAAATACAATTACTCTGTATACTTGGCTATAAGGAATATCTTCATGTCTTCCATCAAGCCTCAGCTTTTATTTTGCCTGCAAGACATATGCATTCCCACAGAGCTGCACATACACTGCCAAGAATGTAATCTCCTACATGCAGAATAAAACCACAGGTCACATTAAGACAGAGAACACTTTCATAGGGGTTTCAAGATGCTTTTTATGATATAGTATGTCTTCCACTAAGACAATATACTCCAACTGTTTTACATTTAATCTCATATTTGTTTTATTTGAAGAACATAATACACTCTAGTTTTGTTCTGTGGGTTTTTTTAAATAAAGTATATGCCTATATGAAGGTATCTCTCTTTACCTTCATCAATATACCATGGGAGTTTTGTTTTTGTTTGAGGCTGAGAGTCAACTGATGAGCCGTTTAATGTGTAGAAGACTTCAGATCTGCTTCTATTTCCAGGTTCAGAGGTAGATCCTGGAAAACAACATACTTTAATGAAGAGGTTAATCTCTACTTAGAAAAGGTTACCTACACTCTTATTTCATAGTATAAATTTGTTATCATACTTTCAAAAAGACCCAACTGCCTTTACACAAAGCAGCAAACTCTCCCATCAAGGCTAACACAGTTCTAAGCTTACAAATCTACACCAAACCAACATAATCCTCCAAGTTGAAATTTCAAGTCCCCAACCTGAAAAGAAGGCAGAAAATACTACTCAAGTGCAAATTTTTCATGACTATAAATTAGGGATATAAGAAAATATTTGTGATACAGTATACAGCAGGTATTTTTTTGTTTTTAAAGCACTAAAATTCCACATTAGGCAAACAGATTACTGATCCAATGCCACACAGCTATAACTCGTGCCAACATATAACGACAGTTACTTTAGTGAAGATCATCTCTGTCAGCATCCAATGCCAGAAAAGACAATACTTTTCCCCAGGCAATAAAAACTTGTAATTCTTACATAAGTACAGAAAATCACTTCCCACACATACCTGTAGCCTTTGGCTTACTGTGATTGAACACGCTTTTGTCACCTCTTGAGGTATAGGCAAGCTTGGGAGGTCTCCTGTCCTGTGACACAGTCTCTAAGACATGGTGTATGAAGAGAGTATTAGCTTCCCTTTTCTGTGTTTTTACTGTGTTACAGAGAAGTTCAACTCCAAAGGTAACCGAACAAAGGGCTGTTATCGTAAGCTTTAAAACTGAGTGGAGTAAAACCTTGCTTGGCACATAACCAACATTTTATGTGTACAGGATTTGCTTCTATCACATCAGCAATTATTTTGCTCTGAAGTCTGCCATTACTTCATGAACACTTCAATGTATGTGCATATTTCCATTACAGGAAACAGATGCATGAAATTCTAAACTTTATTTTCTACCAACACACTTACAACAAATGCTCTTCTCCCAAAAATGGAGTCCGTATGAATTCTCCAGAGAAGAGAGGAAAATTCATGCAAAATCACACATCTCAGCTAAACCAGCGAGTAGGAGATGAGCATAAATCAGTCAAATGGAAGAGCAAGGGCAACAGTTACAGACCACACACTCATTAGCACCTGTCTACAGACAGAGCACAAGCAAAAGTTACTAATAAAAACTTTGCTTTCTTCAGAAAATGGATCAGGGGACTGTAGTTGTTACAAGTTAACACTATTCCGTGAATTACTGCTGTGAATTTTTCCACAGTCTTGCTATGCATTTTCAAATATTTACCCACAGACTGCATACATAATATTATCAATACCTTTCCAGCACAGAAAGGCCAGCTTTCTGACCCAAGATATTTAAACTCGTGGAGCAAATTTAACAACAGTCCATATGAAAGATTCCCGCTACAGACACTCACATATTCAATAATATTACACAACTCCACAGTATTGTAAATACTATACTATTTGTCTTGGTTTGACAAAACCTCCACACTATTTGACAGGAATTTTCTTCAATATTAAAGCTTTTCTGCTAGTGAGACTATAATGCAAAGGAGGGGAAAACTGAAGAGAATTATAACACAGAAGGTTAAACTAATTCAAGTGAATTAAGGATATTAACTTTGTAGTATTGTTTTAATCATATAACTGTGCCTAGGTGGAGATGTTATCAAAGTCTACCTTCTGGTTAAGAAAGCTGGGCATACCTGGAATAACGTCATTGATATGCAAAAGAAGTGTACTTTCAACACTTGCAAAACTGCACAGCTGTATTCCATTATATCTTCCATCCCAGTTTCCAATCGGATTATCCTAAAAATAGAAAAACATGTTACATGTATCCCAAGAGAAGATTTACATCATGCATATGTCTTTAGGAATATAAAAAGTAGGGAAATGAAAGGTTTGACATCTCCTTTTTCCTCTAACAAATTTTGTATTTAGAACAGTCAAACATTACAGTCTTTAAACACAAAAGCAAACTTAAAAACTGCTCTTTTGAGAAATATTTCCTACTTTAAAAAGCATTCCTCTACTACAAACTATTATGGATAAATAAGTTAGAACAACTTCAGTGCATTGTTAGGGAACAGCTACTGCAACCAAGAAAATGGAAGCATCTGTTCTACAAAACCAAAACCAAAACATAATCTCGAACTACCAAAAATTTGAAAGCTGTCTATTTTAAAAAATTCAAGTTGCTAGAAATATTTTTTAATTACAGGCTTCACATTTTCTTGAAAAATCAACTTTTGTACTTGAAACTCAATACTTTTAAGGTAAAACAAAGTCAAGCAAAAAAACAGTAACATGAAAAAAAAGCTTTTAAAAACAGCTAACAAAAGAAAAATACATCCAGCCTACTTTTTTAACAGGCAGAACAAAGCCAGTCTCACAAGACAAACACTCAACTCTATGACTTCAAGACTGACACCTAACATGGCAAGTAGCTCAGTGGAGGCTCCTCAGAATAACCAGAGTATTTCTCCTGAACTCTTTAGCATCAAATAGGATATCATTTACCTGATGCCAAGAAACAATTACCACCAAGGGGCATCTTTGAACACAAGTGTTTATTTCCCATTTTAGGTCAGCCTCCGCTGAAGTAGCTTGTGGGATAATGTTTCTTCTTCTAATTGCATGGCATTTACTAGCTAACACACATGCAGAAGTTATTAAAGTCAGATTATTTTCTTACCATGTCCACTCCAACAACGTATCCTAAACTTTCGTTTCCTGGTAAGACATCACAGAATATAACTGTCCCATACTCTATACTCTCTCCTATCTTCAGAGAAACCCTGGAGTTGATCTCCAGAGGAGGAAGTTCTACCTGCATTGCGTCAACTGGAGCTGCATAGTCACTTTCCAGTTCATTGTCATCATCTTCCACCAGCTCCAGTTTGTCCAAAGCAACAAAAACCCCACAGTCCTCATCGCATCTGAAAAGCTGCTTGCCTTGGTACTGTCCATCTGTAAAGCCCTGACCGCGACCTTCTTCCTGGGTGTCGGAGGAGGAGGAGGAAGAGGGGAAAAAAAAGAGAAAAAACCCAATGTATTTTGTGCAAAAGCAGACTACTAAAAAAGCAGTAACATAATCCAGTGTTTTGGACAAATCTTACTAAGAATTTCCCTGGTGAAGTATCTCCATATTGAGAGAATTCTATTGTCAGAATTTGTGGCAAATATAAACACTACCTTAGGGGAACAAAGAGCAAGATGTCATTAGATTAGAGAGTAGCTGCAGGCAGAAGCCTTTTTACTAAGAGAAGCATGTTTTCTTCAGGTGCAAATCTTGCTTCCATCATCAAATTTTTGCCATATCAAGACAAGACTACTTCATACTAGACATAATGCTAAGCATTCAAAAATTCCACTTGTATGCCAAATAAAGAGATGATTTTCAGAAGCACTTAGGCCTGATATTCCCTGAGGTTCTCAGTGGGAACTGCAAAGTTTGGGAAAAGTTTAAAGAGTACTTTGAAAAATATACTTCTAATACAAGAGGAGCACTCCCCTGAGCCTAATCCTTCAAAAGCTTATGGTTGTCATTAATTTTGCACACAACAGCTACATTCTCTATCTTAACTAGTTGCCATTTGACTTTTAGGGATCTACAAAAACAGCAGCCCTAAAATCCAAGCCTGTATTTATGGACCGTATCCTGACACGTTGGAGGAAAACCAAAGTACTCAACAGAAATCTGAGAGTCACATATGCACCATAATGGGAATATAACTAATTTTGCCCAGAGAAGTTGTAGATGGTCCCTCCCTGGAAGTTTTCAAGGCCAGACTGAATGGGGCTCTGAGCAACACGGCCTAATGGAAAGTGTCCTTGCCCATGGCAGGGGTTGGAACAAGATGATCTTTAAGGTCTCTTCCAACCCAAATCACTCTGTGTTTCTATGAATTAAATTTTTCTAGGCTAGAAGGAGTCAGAGTACATTCAAGTCTTTCTGCCAGCCCAGGCACCTCATCAAGCTTCATTTAACGTGTAGAATACAAGGCTGATGTGATATGGCATGTTCGTGGGTACCTAATAAACAATACTTATGAAAAGACTGAAGGTAACAATTTATTTTCTAAAAAATAAATTATTATTACTTCCTCTTCACATCGAAGACTTTTAGCTCATCCTATAAAGTAAAAACATGATGCTACCCCTTGGCAAAAGACTTACCAGCAACTCTACTCCAAAGTATATCCCTGCGAGGGACCTTTCTTGCATTAAGGGTCCTCTGAAGCGAACAACTCCAGGAAATTTGTCATCTCCTGACCTCAGCTGTACTCTAACAGGGGAGCCAATATCTATTTGGATGCCTTTAGCTAACCTGCTTTTGCTTTTAAACAGACTGTATCTTTCCTCACAGTTAGTAATAGCCAAAAGCAACTCGGCAAGTTTTTCATTTATTTCTATAACATCCTTCTCATCCACAAACAGGATTGCATGAGGTTGTTCCAGAATCTTTAATCCAATCTGCAGTTTCTTGCCTTTACAAGGAATATTTCTGGAGTGTCCCACAGAAGAACGGTCTTGGAAAAACTGCCCGATGCTACCTTTGGGCACCTTCAAGAGCTTTTGGGTCTGCTTGTCTATGACACTGCATTCCTGGAGAAGCAAGTAGAAGATCCGCTCTTCCCAGTAGGATGAACTTGCTTTTTCTTGACTCCATAAACCCGAATTCATTGTGATTAAAACTTTAAAAGCTGCACAGAAGTCTTCAAGAAAAATAAGCTCTGGATTTATGCACAGTGGTCTTTCCAAATTCTACTGGAAGGTCCAATCTTTGTCAAACAACACAATATTCATTTTGCAAGGAACCAAGTTCAGAGCAGGAAGCCTAGAATAAAAAAAATAAAAGAAAAAAAAAGAGAAAATTAAATTGGGAAACTATAGCTAGTCCTAAGTAAATCATAATTTAAATCTGTGACCAGATCCACTCCTCCTACAGAGTAATAGTTCAACAAAATACAAGACAGTGACCACAGTCCCAGAACAGCCACAATATTGCTGATCATGGACAGACCCATTTACCCATTTCTACTACTTACTGCCTATTTCCTTTCCTTGTCTAGTTCCTTGAAGAAAGGAGCTGTGAAAAAAGTGCAATGAAATGCAGAAAACACATAAAACACACATAAGTGAAAGGAAAAGAAAACTTAAGTTCACATGAACAGGAATAAACATCCTTCTCAAATTTACAAATAATATTTTATGGAAGATCTTTTCCTGTGCTTAGTGACTACTTATTTCTGACAAAGTGCACTGCATCTGTCATCCTGCATAACATTTTGATTTAGTGAAGCAGAAAATTGTGTTGACGAAATAGAGCAGCAGAAAATGGAAACTTCAGTAACTCATAACAGCCATTTCTTTAAATAAAGAAATGGCCAGTTCCAGTAAGTAACAGACAATGTATGAAAACCAAATTGCACATACATTACAACATGAAATTCTGAGAAAAAATTAAGAAATACGTCACTTTCAGTTAGTAAAATACCCTAGAAATAAACAGCTTAGTTAAACATCATCCTAAGATTTGTAGTTCACAACCAATAAACTAAAAAAGAACAGTCTGAAAGTACTTCATTGAGAATGGCAGCAGGTACAAAAGTAAAATACATACACACAAATGGCTACAATTTCGATCATACTGGATACATGAAGAAAGATCCACAGTACCTCAGCAGGATTTACTCTTCAAAGATGGCAGAAAACGGCACCATACAAGTTAAAAATATAATTTTTAAAATTTTCCTGTTTGTAATCTGTGATGCCAGTTTGCATTTGGTTAAAGGAGAATCTCAATGATTATTTATGGATTTAACTTCAATAAATTAAAAGCAAATAATCTCTTTTCCTTGTGCCTAGGTACCCTATTCCTCCCCAGCTTTTCTACGATGGCATTCAAATACCACAAAACTTACTCAGTTTGATCCCTGTTTCAGAAGCTATTGGAAAGCAATGGAATCCAGTAGTACTGTAGCTATTTTCATCTTTTTTTTTTAAACAGAAAGATTATTTAACAAAACTCTTTCCCCCAGAGAAAAGTAGAAACAACCACAGACAACCCAAAATTTATGCAAAGTCTCATCTTTCAGTCCCAGGAATTCACACATTTCTGTGCTGCCTTGGTGAGGCATCCAGCCGTTCCAACCTGCTTCTCCTCTGCACAGATGTGGCATGTGGGTGTCAGTGCCATCACAGGAATTATGGGGTTTAATGTGTTTCCATCTGCAAAGGAATTAACACCCGAGGGACAGAATCTGGACAGTTTCAGACCTCCCTGAGAGAAACTCTGGTAGACTCATATTCTCAAGTTAAAAAATATTTTTCTTCATTTTCATTCGATACACATAAATGGGCTTTAATGTTTGTTGGTGATTAACAAAAAAGTGGTGTCAGTATTGGAATGAAATAGCAATGCTTTATACGGAAACTGATACACAACATAACAGGATTTCCCCCACCACCACACTGAAACATGACTACATGACCATTAGTTTTTGTAAGTCTACTCAGATGTTAAAATAGTTTCCTCCAAGTTCTGTCTAGTTCTCTCCCCTTACTTTTTCCAGACAGTGGGGAAAAAATAGATCCTGTCTTGTTCTTCATAGCTCATTCTATGTTCTCAGCTTTCAAAAGCTGATGCACTTCACTTTCTTTTTTTGTGAGCCATTCCACAAACTTACTGAACCCCCGATAAACTGCAAAAATGTATCTCTGACATTACAGGGAACCTGACCTTTCCTATTTTATTTAGAGAAATAATTCATTTTAATTTTAGTAAGTATGCATGGAAATAATATATTAAAAGACAAGTCTGTTCAAGAGCTTTAAAATATTAATTATAGAATATTATTTATCATATCTATTTTTAGTAAGGATACCTTGCTTGCAGGTCCATTGCTGCAACATCATACAATCTTCACATGTTTAGTATTAAAGAATTCAGCGTGAAAACATGTTAACAACTGCATTTAGATTATATCACAATAATTATATAGGGTGCGTGGTCAGTCTTTCAAAGTCCTCATCCACAGAGATGTTATTAAACCCACTGGATACAGAACCAAAAGGCTTTCCTTTATTAAAAAGTTTGTTATCCCTTTATAAAAATGCCTTCTTTAAAAACTTATCTACCACCACTGTCCCCTGTCAACAGAAAAATACAGCTCTAAAAACCAAATCCTCTTCTTTTAGAATAATAAAAGTGATAAATTAGTACTTTAGCAGCACAGAAAAGCTTGTTAAAAGGATGTTAAGCTTTGGCAACATATCAAAAACATATTTACATAAGCCACTGGATTTAAATTTCTTTTTTCAGCCATTTTCCGTGGAATTGATTATTCTGCAACTAAAGTAAAAGCCTTGCTGAGCAAACAGCCCACGTGTATCAGACAATGGCCAGAATAAACTATTAGACCTCAGTATGAATTGATTTGGGAACCAAACAAAGCACACTTACCAACAAGTCATCATTACACCGCACAACACACCAGCAACTACAAAACTCTGTGCAAACCAAAGAGTACTTGCCCACCACAGGCATTTTAAGTGTCAGAGCCTGTTCTACCTTCTTCTGCTCCACCTACTACCTGAATTGTTTTCATGCTCAAAGGATTTTCGGAAGAAACAGGCAAAACACAGTTATGACTGCAACACTACATACTTCAGAAGAAAAAAGCATTTTAAAAATCGTCAGAGGTAGGCCATCATAAAAAAATCTAACTTCAAAGCTTCCCTAACTTCCTTTTTTATTCTTCTGTCATGAGGCACTGTTGTCACTACAGAGACATCCCATCATAAAAACAGTTTGCTCTGAAATACAAGAACTCTGTTCCTACCCTGCAAGAGCCTCGGATGAACTATATAGAGATGTTTGAATCAGCTATCGGGTTTCAGCATGAACACGAGTCCGTAGCTGTGATCCAGAGCACAAAACGAAGAGGCTAAAATAAATTGTACAGATTCTAAGAGGACTTTCACTTTAACACCAAAAAGAATTTAAACAGCTGAGATGCAAAGGTATGTTCTCCGACAGTCCAAAAATAACTTTCGAGGGAAGGTTAAAATTCGGAGCAAGGAAATTTAGTCGCAGCTCAACGTACACATGAAAGAAACTGAAACTGGTTCCCTCACGAAGAGTTCTACGGCAAGACACGTCCGTCCGAGCTACAGTGCTCGGCCGAGCTTTGGGGAACGATTATTCCCCCCCATTTCTGAGCGTCCTCTCCCCTCTCTGGGCGGTTCCGCGCAGGAAAGTCCCGAAACACTTCAGCGCTGCCCGGGGATTCACGCTGAGCTGCAGGAAGGCCCGGCCGGGCCCCCGCGCGGCGCCCCCGCCCCGCCCGCAGTGGAGCCCCCGCCCCGCCATCCCCGGCCCGGCTCCGCCGCCGGGCAC